TATTGACCAACTTGAATCTGACCTTCAATCGGCTTCCCAGGCTTTCCAACAGACCCCCACTCCTGAACACAGATCCAAACTGTTTAACATTCGGTCCGAGCTGAATCTTTGTCTTACACACCTTGCGAACGACCGATTGGCTTAGACCAAGCATAGATTCTACATCAAAGGTGACAAACCAGACACCATGTTAGCGCACAGGCTCAGAGACACCAATACTAGACGTGACCCCATTCGACTGAAACTTCATGGTGGCCATGTGACGGCCCACCCGGTTAAAATCCTAGACGCTTTTAGGTCGCACCTGAGTGAACTGTACCGCACCACAGGTCCACTGGAGGTCTCGAGCATGGAGGCCTTTTTTTCCTCCCTCGACCTCCCCTCCCTATCTGACGACGACCGGCACCTGATCGATGCGCCCATCACTTCAGAAGAAGTCTTGCATACTATCAAATTACTTAGTACTGGGAAGCTGCTTTGGTGCCATCTACTATAAGAAATTTGCGGATACTCTTGCCCCACACTTAACTGCATACTTTAACGCCATGCAGGAGGGAGGGCGGCTGAGGAAGCAATCACTGATGTCTTCCATCTGTATGATCCCCAAGCCTGAAACTGATCACACCTCATGGTCTAATTACCATCCGATCTCTTTGATCAATGTTGACTTTAAATTGCTCACCAAAATTCTGACACTGAGACTCCAATCTCCTATCCTAAAATTGATTTCTAAGGACCAAGTGGGGTTTATGCTGGGAAGACAGGCGGGAGATAGTGTTCGGAGAATATCACACTTAATACATATCTCCCACCAGAGGAAACTCCCGACTATGCTACTAGCACTTGACATAAGTAAGGCCTTCGACTCAGTTGGGTGGGACTATCTACGCTATACCCTGACTAAATGGGGGTTTGGGCCCTCATTCATGCGCTTAATTGACTCATTGTATTCTGAACCCACGGCATACGTCCAATACCAGGGCTTCCACTCCCAAAGGTTTGATATCACTAGAGGGACCAGACAGGGCTGCCCACTCTCCCCCCCCCTCTATTTGCACTAGCCATAGAGCCCTTTGCTCAAGCAATACGGCAGCATGGGGGTATTAAGGGTATAGAAGTGGCAGGATACCACCACAAACTTAGTCTGTTTGCTGATGACGCACTTCTGATCCTTACTGATCCGTTGCTCTCCCTCCCGAACCTTCAACCCCTACTACAACAATATGGTACCCTTTCAGGCCTTTTCGTTAATTTGCACAAATCCAAAGCACTTAATGTATCCCTGCCCCCCTCCATATGTTCCTTGCTGCAACAATCATACCCATACATGTGGGTAGCCACGGCGCTGCCCCACTTGGGGATATGCCTCACCCCCTCCTATGACCAATTGTACAATGCGAATTACCCAAAACTATTATCCCATATGGAATCTCTACTGTCCTCTTGGGAGAAACATCCCTTATCATGGCTTGGGAGGGTTACGGCCATTCAAATGACCTTACTTCCCAAATTTTTATATCACGCAAGGGTCCTCCCCGTCTCGGTTCCCACCTTTCGGCTCCGGCTATTCCAACACAGCATCCTATGTTTCATTTGGAAGGGTTCCTTTCCGAGAGTGTCACACTTAGTCCTCTACCGCAACAAATTAGAAGGGGGTCTGGGACCTCCCTTTTTCCAGAAATATTATCACGCGGCTCAGTTGGCTCCTTTGGTTCTCTGGTTTGGAAAGTCAGAAATGCCTCTATGGGTCTCCTTAGAAGCCTACTCATGCTCCCCGACATCGCTCCTCAACCTCCCTTGCTTACCGCCCACGAAACGAGGGACCCTTACGAATCCTGTTCTTCAACATACCCTGAAAATCTGGGATGGCCTCCACCACTCTATGAGATGGATGTCCCCCCACACTCCCCTGATGTCTATCCATGGCAACCCGCTGTTCCAACCAGGATACTCCAACCCTGCTGCCTTTAAATCGTGGTTCTCTAGCGCCCTGAGTTTGATCAAAGACTTCTGCTCTGAAACGGGTATTGTACCGTTCCTGACGCTCAAAATTAAACATCAGCTGACCCCTAGACATGTCTTCCAATTCTTACAGATAAAACATTTCTTGCTAGCCCGATTAGGAACTTTACGCCCCATCAAGAGACTATTACACTGCGGGATACGTGGTTCAGGGACCCTATCTACCCTTTACAGCCTTCTGTTGGATAAACTGCACGCCTCCCCTCCTCCCTACGCTTCCAGGTGGGAACAGGACGTGGGATGCTCTATTACCCCTGACCACTGGCGGAACTACCAGGGTCGCAGCAGTCGCAATTGCGACCGGGCCCTGGCGTTCCGCCTGCTGGGGGGGGCCCAGCGAGGAAGAATAGGGCCCCCCTATGGATTGGCAAGGTGTCCGTACACGGACACCGGTGTCCGTGAATGGTGCTTGCAGGGTCCGCCGCAGCCGTACATTACATGTGAAGTTAGTTGGTACGGTCCCGGCGCTGACCCCCCTGTACAATTGTGATATTTTGGTACCTTCCTGTTCATGTGCAGGAAGGTTTTTTCTTTTCTGGGGGCAGAGCTTTCTTTTTAGTGGGCGGAGGTGAAGAAGATCAAGGCGGGAGCGGTGGAGGCTGCTGCTGGAGTGTAAAGGTAAGTAAGAAGGCTGGGTCGGGGGGGATAGGACAGCAGCAGATGTGTCTTGCTTGTTTCGGGCGCAGCGTGAAGTATCCAGCCGGCGCAGCAGCCAATGAGTAGGAAGTGGTGTTATCCCCGCCCCCTCATCACAGGAGATGTAGGGAGCTGGGACTATGAAGGTGACATGGGATCTGGCAGCGGAAAATCATGGATTCTTGCATCGGGGCCCTGAGGTCACTAGTTACGCCTCTGCCCCTGACACCTGGACCCAGATATGGGTGACGACTTCCCGCAGCTCAATGAATGTTCAAGCAATAGAAGCCAACTACAAATTGCCTGGTTTATGCATTGTATGTTAATGAAGTTAATGAGAGAAAGACAATCTCCACATTTCAGTCCTAAGTCTTTCAATAAGGACACATCATTGTGAAGGTGTTCAGAAAAAACCTGGAGTCGGCGACGTTGCTTGCTACAATAAAACATCTTACAGGTAAGAAATGTTTTTCATTCTACTGTGTAAATGGGAACACACAACAAACATATAGAAGGGTTTTCTCAAATTCGAGTGCAAAAGTGGTAACACACTTTAAGGAAAAGGGACAGTCTTTCAGGGACAAGCAGTACACATTATGGACAGAGAACAACTACTTTACGAGAGGCATAAAAAAGGACATCTATGATAAACTGTAGCAACCATCTAAACAGGGGTGGGGACCTTCAACAGCATCTGTCACCCACATATTATGCTGTTTTATCATCTTTACCCTGGCATTTTAACAACAATTCACACCGTTAGTCAACTCTAGCAATTAACTGATGTCCCAGGCTTAATGGCACCATGGTGAGTACATCATGTAATTAGAACAGGGTGGATTCACAAACTTTCATACCTCCCATCATGCTCTTGAAAACCAGTGCCTGCCTTGATCCATTCCCTGGTGATTGGATTAAGTAGACTGAGTGACCCCGTGGCTATAAATACATGAACTATGTAAGCCACTTGGGTGAGCAGTGAAACACCTTCAACAGTACAAGTCTTGTTGAATGTAACAAACTACTACTAGCTATACCATAGCCTGGATAAATTAAAACTTAGTGCAAAATACAGTCATACAATCAAAACTGATGCCATAACTGATAATGTAATGATAATGACTAGGCATTACCATGCACTAGACTTGAACAGTTGTTGGAGGAACTAAGAATGCTCATGCTATTTTAGGCTGTGCATCTCACAGCACTTTAGATAGAGGGACAACAGTGTGCAAATCGTGTCCAAAGAAGGACACACCAGTGCGACAGACTCTGAGGACTGTTGATAGATCAGATTTGAGGTATATGGTTTTATGGATTGGTGATGGCTAATGATGCTACACAATAGGGATTACAGAACCTGCCTGGGTTTGATTCGCTACAGGTTTGGTGAATCTTGAAATTCAGAAAGCAGGCAATGGAATCTGGGTACCGCCAGTTTGGCTTACATACAGCATCACCACCCCAACCTCTCATTAAGAAATAATGGCCACTGACCAGTGGCAGGATGTTTTAATAAGGGAGAATAGGTCAAAATATAGAGACACAAAGTACAGGCAGGTCTTTCTCAAGGCCTGCCTTGGAAACATCTAGTCTCTTTACCAGGATTCAGTGGATTAATCTAGGCCAACCTTTCTCAACCAGGGTCTCGTGGCACACTGGTGTGTCTCCTAGCCTCCATAGGGGTGCCTCAAAATGTTTAGGTAGTGGGACTGTGATATGAATAGGGAAATGAAGACTGATGTGAAGGGAGGGGGGCACTCTGATATGAAAGTGGGGCTTCTGATGTTAAAGGGGGGCTGCTGATACAAAGGGTGACTCTCATGTGAAGGGGGGGTCTTGATTTGAAGGGGGCACTTCAATGTGATGCGAGAAAACCTATTTTTTGGGGTGTTTTTGACTGGGGTACCCCTTAAAACTCATTCAATTTTTAGACAGGGACCTCGAGATTTTGCATACTTTTACAGAGTGACATGACTAAAAAAAAGGTTGAGAGATGCTGGTCTAGGTTATGTACCAGGATTCAGTCTCAAGACCTATGAAAATTATTTATTTGAGTGCAAGATGTTATTCTTTTGTTCGTATTTATTAGATACATATAGTAAGGCTGTAAGTGGACATCAACATATACAAATGACAGGTTCATGTTAAGGACCCCTTAGAAAACCTTCTAAAAGCATGCTGTTTTTTGGCTGCTTTTGACTTGCTTCTGAGTCTGACTCCTGTGTACATAAGTTATAATATTTACAGTATATTGTGATGGTGGATTGCATGATGCATATACACATTCTCTATTATATTACATAAGAATGCAGCATAACATGTATCTGCATAATGCTTACCTGTGCAGAGTAATCCACCGTATACCCAGCACTGTCCATATTTCACAGGCTTAAAACCCTTAAGGTACCAATCTTTTAAAATGACAGAACTTCCATTCCAGCTGCTGGGACTGATCCCATCATCATAGATCCCGCTCCAGTTTTCCACTAGAACGCCATTTTCATCTTTACTGTTCAACTTGCAGATACAGTATATGAAGCACATAGAGAGATTGGTTAGATAAACTCTCAAGTTATAATAGGACATTTGTTTTTCAGAGATAATGGCAATTAACGAGAAGATGACTGCATTAAACAAAAATGACAGCCTTAAAGGGTATTCCCACCTTTATACATTTTTCAACTTGATATACTAAGTTAATGTAGCAACATATTGACAAATGGTCTGCATTAAGTAAACACACCGATCAGCCATAACATTATGATAACAAGAGGTGAATTGAAATACATTGATAATAGACATGTGCACAGCATAAAAATTAATTTCGGACGAAACTAATTAAAAATAAGAACATGTTTATTCTTTTTGTTTGACAAAACAAAAAATTATGCTGTTTCAGATTCGGAGGCAACGAACGTCCGAATCCTAAATCACACATTTAAACAGCAGAACGCTAGGCGGCCACATTGGCCACCAGCATGTTCTGTTCTGTTCCATCTTGGAGGCATAGCACATGATGTCACATGGTGCCGCACGCGCAAGGCCTCAGGTGACATCATATGCATGTATGAGCGTATCCAAGATAGCGTGTGGCATCCATGAGACGTCATGCATACCAACTCAAAGATCGCACCGTGCATGTGCAAAACGTGCTGGTGGCCAATTAATAAGAATTAATATTAATATGCCCAAATAGTTTTTCGTATATATTCGGGCATATAATAATTCTTTATTTTGGATTCGGACAAATTGGCGAATCAACTGAATTTCCCTGATTTGCAAGTTCGTCTGAATCCGAATGCACATATCTAATTGATTATGTCATTACAATGGCACCTGGAAGTGGGGGGAATATATTGGGATCCTGATGTTGATATGTTGGAAGCAGAAAAAATAGGCAAGTGTAAGGATTGAGGCAATTTTGACAAGGGCCAAATTGTGATGAATAGACGACTGGGTCAGAGCAACTCCAAAACTGCAGCTCTTGTGGAATGTTCCTGGTCTGTAGTGGTCAGGACCTACCAAAAGTGGTCCACGGAAAGGAAAACTTGTGAACTGGTGACAAGGCTCTGTCATGCATGCGGGGAGCGAAGGCTGGCCTGTGTAGTTCGATCTAATACAAGAGCTACTGTAGCTCAAAAAGCTTGGTGCCAGATACCACAGCATATTGTCAGAAGTCTAGTGGAGTTAATGCCTCAGGGCTGTTTTAGCGGGAAAAGAGGGACTTACTCAATATTAGTCGGGTGATCATAATGTTATGGCTTATCGGTGAATCTCCAGCCAAAACTTTTATATTTTTCGTTTTAGATAGGGTGTGGAAGAATAAGAACCCCTGATGGTTTTTTTGGCTATCTGAGATTTTCCCTCACTTACTAGAATTATAGGCAGATAAAAAATATATCTATTTAATTCAGTTATATATTCATTCAAATCTTTAAATGTATTTTTAAACATTACATAATTCTGGCATTATATTAGTGTCCCTGTATATGAGCTCTCACATCACAATAGATCATTCTAATAGGATGAGTAGGCACAGTGCCATTTATCGACTGTCTTCGCTTTTCTATCAACCACAGGCTGAGAAAAGTATTGCAATAAACGAAGGCTGACAGGGACCTGGGTATGCTGTGTGGTAGCAGTGTGTGAATTTTAAGGGAGGCTGATCAGAATTAAAACACTTTGGGCAGTTTTACAACTCACATATAAATACTTTGAATGTGAAAATAGCACACTGGCAAAAATACTGTCGGAAAGCCTGCACTTTCTAAAAATATGGTTTAAGACAGTCTATTTAAATGTGGTCAAATGATATGCTAAGGTTTCTGTTCATGATGATTTCCATTACTGTCCCCTAGAGGAAGTTATAGGCTTGGATGCTTTGCCACTACTGACACCCTGTTTAGTTATATTCCTGTCTACTGTATGTGCAAATGATGTGTAATGTAAATTAAAACTCACCGTTCCATGGACTACCCTGCATACATAGAGTGGGTCATTCCTTTGGGCAACATCCAAAGCTGGGTCATGTTGGTGGTTAACACTCCGGTCCATTATAGCAAGACAAATCTCAAGCACGCTCCTGTCAAACTAATATAGATAAGTGATCATATGACATCAGTTATTGCAAATGATTTATGAATAATGGAATAAACATGGTACTGTGCCCAAAGATCTTAATGAGAATCCTTGATTCATCGTTAAAAAATCCAAAAGATGAGGTCTAACTGGTTGCTGTGGACAGTAGCAGCATACATCCTCTATTTTTTAAATTATTTTAAATGCTAAATAATTAAGCATCAATTCATTAATTATTAATTATGTATTACTAACTAGCAATCTCTAGCTAGTAGCATCTTAGCCATACTTCCCCAACTTTCTGTGATGGTAAAGAGGGACACATTATAGCACAAAGTATGTAAATAAAGCATGCATGCCCCTGTTTTCTGGACCATTAAGAATTAATACACAAAAAATATTATTTAAGCCAACACTTGCTTTTTTTATCACTTTTACTTCATACTGGCTTTTCAAAATGAATGGAAAATACCAGGTTTAGTGTTCTAAATGGTTAAATAATACATTTTGTTTATAGAGGTCTATACATAAGGCCAAAAAGAGGGAGGTGGAAAGAGGAACAGAGTAATTTGGTTCCAAAAGGGGGATAGTACCCCTAAAAATAGCAACAATCATCAATCCTGCAAAAACTGCCCTCATCACTAATGTAAATCTTCCCTGAGCAGAAAGGATGCTGAATCTCTGCTGCCTTTCTACATTTCAGGCAGCATAAGGCAGTGTCTCTTTAAATGGTGCATATATTGGGGGAAATGGGTGTGGTTACGGGGGCGTGGCCACTAAAGGGTGTGGCCACTGAGGGGCGCTGTAAAGCTTTATCCGCACAGGGCGCCTAAAGGCCTAAGGCCGGCCCTGAGTGTCGTAACCCATATATTGGTATTTTTCAGATTATAACATCAGTAAACTATTCACCTTGAATGCATACTATCTCTGTTCTATGTTATATACGCATAAGCATTTGATTGGTCATGGACATAAGCTTGGTTTGTATGATCCAAGTTTTAACTTTAACCAATTGACATTCATATAGACAAAATTATATATATATATATATATCTGCTGCGAAAAATACCTCATCATAGCCCCAGGACAGAGGTAAGATGCTATATTCACTTCCCATAAATATAACTCCTTTATCGTTCAGAACATATTCTTGTCTCTCACTTTCATCGGCTAAAAATACATCATCCTCTGGAAATTTAGGAAAAAATTATAAATATACACCAACAATAGAACGACACACCAATAAAGTGCTTTTAAAAATGTGCTTCATGCTTTATACCTTGATCCCAAGGATTAAAGAGGAGATATAGTCCACAAATAGGCTGTGGTGTGCCAGAGTTTCCAACAAAACTCATAATGTATTGTCCAATCACAGCATCTGAAGGGCTGTTTATTGTCACAGTAATGTTATTAGAGCTGCTGGATGACAAGACTGCACTCCATGAGCTCTGATTTCTAGCTCCAAACAGACGAATCACTGCTTTTGTTCTGGAGCTCTCTGATGGATTAGGACCTAGAGGAGAGAGAACATCAGACATTTTTTTTAATTACAAACACGTGTAATCAATCTTTTCTGACATGCAACAAGTTTCCTAAGGTACATAAATAGAGGAAGAGCATTGAGAAATCTTGCCCAGTGAAACGCTGAGATATGAAGATGTTTGGTCAAGGCAAACCCATTTGATATGTCGAACATTTTGCACTAAGTACTTTGGATATGTACAATATATTTCAAACTGTGGTTGTGTCGATATTCAGCTAATTGACAGAATTCTATGATGGGTACCCTATTTCTGGATTCTAAAGGAGGGAATTGTGTGGCTGCTTGTTTAATAAGGACTTATGCCACTTCTGGTCCATCTAAGGCAGGGGTGTCAAACTCAATTTATTCGTGGGCCGTATCAACATTATGGTTGCCCTCAAAGGAATCTGTAAGACCATATAAATGTATCTAATCTTTATCATAATTGCCTCTGCATTTGATTATCACTGGTTTTAGTAATAACTTTATACCTAGATCTGAAAGTCTAGGAAATGACCTGGTGGGCCGGATTCGGCCCCTGGGCCTTGAGTTTGACACATATGATCTAAGGGATTGGTAAACGAAGCATGGTGTGGGGACTTGTTATGTCCAGACTGTCATGGCCAATCAATCACATTGACTGCATTAGGAATCTGGAATCTAAAAGCACTGTTTGTTTTTATACTTTTATACTATAGTATGTCTTGACTAATTGATCATTAGGAGTAATCAATTGTTTGGAACTATATACTTTCTGGGTAGCTAGTATTTAGTCACATTTAACTGGAATTGTTCTTTAATGTTGAAAACATTCTGCATTTTATCAGAGCAGCTTGATCAGTTCTAATGAGTGTCAAAAAAATACCCCAGCATTTATCACTGCACAGGTACCTTTGCTACATCTCAGTATGCCACTAAATATTACTAATGAAATGGATTTTACAGGTAGTAACAGATGTGGAATATAGCGTATGTGTGTCCCTTAGGTGACCACCACTGATCTGTAGTTGGTGTGGGTATCTGGCTGTTTTTCCATGTACAGAAAGGTTAAGGCTTTGTTGTGGAACCATGCCCACATTTTGGCAATGCCAATATTAACCCTCTATATGCACTTTTGCTGTTCCTTTTACTGCTGCCCTGTTGTTTTCTAGATGAATTGCAACCTTAGGAATGCTCCTAATAGACATAGTTCACTTATAATAATCATAACATTGTGTCAAGATATTTTTCCATTGCATTCTCGAGTTGTTCATAAATACTTCCTTTACGTCACCAAATGGTAAGCAACACTGAATCATGGATATCTTTAAAGCAGTCTCAGTCTTGATGTACCTAGAATGCTATTAATTGACTTTAATGTTAACAGTAAGTTTGTCTTTCATTTTTCTATGATTCTTCACCCTCAAGGTGTTGGCTATAATCTCTTCTTAAATACATGACTGTTTCTCATTATACAGCCTGCATTTACTGCAGATGCACACGTTAAGACTGTATTTCTTCAGACAAAACTAAGCCCAGTTACCTGCCTCATATATAGTTCCACACATTACAATCCAATTCTGACTTTGGCTTTAGGGGTGCATAGGGCTATGAATAAAGGTAATTTGTTCAAACCAAGAGAGGTTTACTGAACAGAGTGCAGCTAAAGAACGGGGTCGGAGAGTGAAATTACGGTATAAAAAATTACATTTATTTAGTTTTAATAGAAGTTAACTTCTATTTAAATAAATAAATAAATAACTACAAAAGGTGCCACTTCAATTAAATAAAGTAAACTGCAACAACTTGGCCCATTTAAGATGAGTTAGATATAACCATAGTTGCACCTCCTCCCCTAATTATAATAATCCCTGGAACATACCTGACGATTCACAACATCCAGTGTATAGGACATAAGAAAGGAAATATGTAGCATCATAGTTAATCTATTTAGCTGAGCAATGGACATCTAGAACAGGATATAACATTTGTTACATCACTTCACAAAGCGGAATGAATGATTGAATGATAATTATAGAGTTTCAACTTATTTGTCCCGTTATTCCGTGATTCATCTGCATTCCTGTCCATCCTGTTTTTCATCCCCTTTTTCTCCCCCTCCCCCTCCCCATCCTTAGTCTGGCATCTGTCCAGGAAGTATACATGTAAAAACACAATCTGATTATCAAGTATCCATACATCTCGAGCGAGTGACCGTCCGGTTTAAAGAGTTAAAGTAGCCGTGAGTAAAACCTACTCGAGTTCCTTTTTTACACACAGAGGGGAAGCACTCTGCTCGCCAAGTGTGATTATAACTCAGCGGCACACAATATATTAACTCACCGGGCCTATCCTCATGCTCTTTTGTTACAAAGTAAGATAACATCAACTAAGTATCAATTGCAGTGACACTTATTGTATCCGCAGAAGGCGTCCATAGGATCCAAGTCAAAGGTTCATATTGACTTTACTCCAACTAAACGATATCTTTAAGACACCTCACGGAAAAAGAGAAACACACTAAGAAAGTTCGACAGGAAATTCCCAGGCATTTGACATATACTATATCGCACCCCTTCACTTTAGTTCTACGCTGCTCCCTCAAAATCGAGGGCCACCTGAAGATTTAGAGTACATTGATCAGCTGGCTCCGTTTGTGTGTGAGTGTTGATTTGTACGAATGGATTGTTGCAATTATCTTTTTTAAGGGTGTGGGAATAGTGGTTTTTTGAACTGTGCAGTCTGTTTATATGGAAAATTGTTTTATTTCGTAAACTAAATAAATGTAATTTTTTATACCGTAATTTCACTCTCCGACCCCGTTCTTTAGCTGCACTCTGTTCAGTAAACCTCTCTTGGTTTGAACAAATTACCTTTATTCATGTTACAAAATAGCAGCAAGGGGTTGTTCTTCTTGCCTAGCAAGTGAGAGTTACCAAGAAGAGTTGGGGAACTCTTATGTTAATAAGAAAGGGGTGAGGATCTCTGTGTACATCAATCTATTTGTTTCGTGCATAGGGCTAGCCTGGCCATTCCAGTAAATTCCTTACACTTTTTATCTCCACCAATCATTAAAGAGGATTTAGGTAACTGGATGAGGCTCATAGTTGTAGTATGTTTTCTTTCTTAACAATTGAATGTTTATAAATCAGGGTTCTTAACCCTGAATTAATGCCTAAAAGGCGTAAAAGCATGATAAAATATGTTTGTACAATCTCCTTTAAATCTACTGTAGCCCCTGCACCCTATGTGGCTCTGAAAATTTAGTGTTGCTGGAAATGTAATCAGCCTGGCTGATTTGTAGTTTGTGATCATTTGGTGTTTTGCTATTTTCTGCACCTAACTGTAGTGGGGTGTGACCTGCCGCAGAGTGGGGCAGCCAATGGAAGAATATTGGGGGTGTCTATGCCTCAGCAGCCAATCACTAGGAGTTTCATGACCAATGGTGCATGCTGGGGAAGTGCCTAAATACTCAGGAATTGCCACGTGTTTAGGGCAGTCTGCCCCTGGGCCTAGCCTGGGTGCAGGATGTACAAGGTTGAAGAAGCTGACTAGGCCTCAAGCATACAGGAGGCCAGATGTGGACCCAGGAGGGGTCTGGAACTATCTAGGAAGGAGAAACAGAGGAGTTCTTTGACAGCAGCAGGTACCAGGAAGGACAGGATGGCATTCACCTCAGGAACAAATCTTGTATCTCTCCCCGGGAAGATCTCAAGAATATCCTTTATCCAGTTATGGCTCTATTACAAAGTGTCACCCTCTTCTTACCAAAGTATTTCAGCACTGTGAACCTGGAAGGGGTTGGTGAGTCTGGAGTCTATTTTTACCAATGAATGTCTGTAGCCCTATATTCTCTCTCTCAGTTTCCAACCAGCATAGTTCTGCAGGTTACAGGGACCCACAAGATTTTTAACCAGGACAAAATAGAGATCCATCAATAAAAGCCCAGAAACACTGAGAGATCTGGTGTCACCTATAATGAATGAATTAAATGTTAAAACAGTTAATTACCTACCATTATTCAAATGGATATGTATAAAAAGGGAATTCCCATTTTCCGTCAGCATTGGGGCTTTTATATCCACATGGCTATTGGGATTTTATAGTAAATATATATTTTATGCAAATTATTCTACTTACCAATTTCAAAGATTAATATGACATTTTCTCCTGACTGCAGAGGTCGGTTAAAGTTCAGTGTCATGGTGAATGGTTGTCCTCGCCTGAAGATTGGGTCACTGCAGTCATAAGCATTGGTATGATGGTTTGTTTTATTTGCAATGGGATACGAGTCATAGCTGATGACCTGTAAGTCTAACAAAAAAAAGATAAAACTATTTAAAATAAATCCTTTATTTAAAAAGACAAAAATGTTCACTGCAGTAGTCTCAAGATGACCACACACTATGACAATTTCATCAAGAACAGGCAGAAATTTGCACAATAGGTGTCGGCACCCTTTTGGCCGGCATCCCTCGATCAGCTGATTAAAGAAGCCGATTTATATTTATAACATAGAGTTAATATTTGCTTTGTAATGAAGAAAATGTAGAAATGTTTCAGTACCCTGAAAAGTGTACTTTTTGTCTTGAATTCCTCCTGAAAATAGCAGTGCACTCCCTAGTTTGTGAGTGTGCCTAGGCACTCCTGTGTCTACAGCCTCACAGTTGTATTTGCAGTGTGAGATCAACTAAGACGCTGTTGCTTTTAACTGTAGTCAGATTTGGTAATGTCTCAACTGTGCTACTCTCCTTGCTGGAGGCCCTGACATAAGGAAACAAAGTTATGCATAAACAAAGATGGCCACCTCTAAACAGAGACAGAGTGCAGAACCAGGATGGCAAGTCAGTAATGGGGAAAGGTCAGTTGCAGGGAGATTGTTCTTTGCCCTTTGCCTTTTTTTTTGGAACAGCTTCTAGAGTTCAGTTCCTTTTTAATGCAACAAGTAACAATTGGCATGCAATATACAATGATTGGCTCACAAAGCTTTTACAAGGAGGTTATCATCATACATATGATGCACTAGCAAGAAGATAAATATTTGGAACAACCTTCTAAAAGAGTTATTCCCTCCCAGGCTCTTGTCCAGAGAGAGTATGATAAGAGCTGTTACAGGTAGGCCGCATTTCCACCTACTGCAAAAAGGAACAGAGGTGTAGCTTGGGGGGGAGTCATGGAGTGCGGCCTGGGTGTGAGTTCAGAAAGCCAGTAGTTGTTGGCAGTCTGAGATGGAGAAAGGCCAGTTTGGGACATCTGTAAGTGTTGGGGCCTAGCTGTAAAAATACAGTAAATTTTACTTGTGGCATCCCCTTCAAAGGAAGATGTGGGTACCACCAAATCAGCTGGACGTTTTAAAAGCAAAAACAATCCCTGCTAGTGGACAGAGATCTGGACTTGTACTGTCATACAAGATGGAATGATGCTTACCTACGGACTGTTATTGTGCAGGTTCTCCTGCAGTAAAGTGGAGTAAATGAAGTGTTTGGACAGTGCCCTTTACTCTTATGAACATGAGGCTCAGCTACAGCCATACAAGATGGAATGATTATTACCTATGGACTATTATTATGAAAGTTCATCTGCAGTAAAGAGGAGTAAATGAAGGGTGTTGACTGTGTCTCTTTATTCTTATGGACACAAGGGTCAGCCTATAAGTGGGGGAATAGGGACATGAGAGACGCTCAGTCAGAGGACAAGTGGTGGCCTGGTTAAGATGGGCTGTCTGACAGGGCCTCATTACCAAGTGACTGCATGTTTCCTGACATGGCCGTTAGGTGCAGATGGACCATACAGTAGGCCCTGTTGTGGAGACTGACTCAACAATCCGCCACTAGGGGTGCTTCAAGCATCTCTAAGAAAAGAAGGCCTTGTGACGTAGGCCCAAACCCACTGTACGTTAATCACACGTGACTATACACAAGTCTGAACAAAGTCTGAACAAAGACGTGGCGGTTCCACTCTCAGCCTCACCCTGCACAGAGATTCCCCAGCTCACGAGACACAATCTCAGGCCAGCAGACTGAGGGCAATTGTCACCAGGGTTGATTAACTCTGCAGTTAACCCTTTACCCACAACGTTCGCTGCCACCATGTGTTTTTTTTTTTTTAACGGAAACACAGACCGTGCCCAGTAAGTGCTGTGCCAATTTAAAACACTTAAAGCCTATGATAACGCTGTACTCTCAGACAGGAATATGACAGAATTCACTATACAGTAGCGCTCTTCACAGAGGCAAGGATACTTTAAGTTCATATTTACGGCTTAGAGATATGCTTAACGATTTTTAAGATCGTCCTTTAATAAAAGGCACGGTGCAGAAAATATACAGAAAAATATATTAATAAAAAGAGTCAAAATATATATACAACAGTAAAATAAAAGGGAATAAAAGGAGAATATTGAACAGTCCTGGTTTTAGGAGTTCTGACAGAGTTCAGAGTTGTAAAAGCGAAAGAGAAGTCTTAAGTGCTCTTCTTCAAGCAAGCTTTCAGCAGATAATGTCCAGAGATTAAAGGGGAACTCTTCTGCTATGTTAAGACTTCTTAGTTCCTTCCTTGATGTTTTTAAAGCAAGAGCCATGTCTAGTTGCCTAGACAGAATATTTTATAAGCCCCTTTTGTAAGGTGTCCTGGAGTCGGCCCTTAGGGCAGGGCTTGGAAGGGAAAGAAGGGAGGAGGATAACCCTTAATTTTACATTATTCCTGCCCAATTCCAAATTATGAAATTTAGCTGATTTTGTAACTCAGGTTTATGACTTTCGGGTGAATTCGGGGTCGCCTGGGTCATTACCTCTACCAGACCTGCTATTGTTTATATTCACTTGTCCACTGGTGACAGATGAGTGCCTGGTGACATGGTTTTATTTAGGGACAGCTTTAAAATGCTTAGGAGTTATTTGGGACTTTCACTAGGGCTGGGGCAATAAAGATCACAGCCAGATAAGTAGATCTCTGTTCTGTGGAATGTGGAAGGCCTGGCAAATTATTGTAAAGTGCTGCGCATACTGTTGGTGCTATATAAATCCTGTATAATAATAATGATAAATGAAGGCCTGCATTTGCTCTGAACTGGGGGACAAAAGAATTCTATTTTTAATATTCAGACTCACCCCCATTATCGTCACAGACCTAAGGAATCTATTAAAGAGAGTTGGCTGAGACTGTCACAGGTCGGCTTAGTAGATCGGGAGGTGAGCGAACACATACCAGCGTTCGCTCACCTCTCGATCCTGTCACGGCTCTCTGCTGTGACAGGGGAGTGGCTGGATTCCCCCCTCACCGCTCCGATCATCCAGCGCTGACTGGTGGAATGGACGGGGGAGGGGCGGGTACAGCTGGCTCTGCCTCTAGATAGGCAGAACAAGCTGTCAGTCACACAGCTGGGCGGATCCAGACATAATTGTCGGGATGCGCTTCAGGTGCGGCAACTCAGTATACCGCACACTACAGCTCGCGGAATACTGAGCCTAGGGTGACGAGAGGACGCTAGTTTGTGTCCTCCCGTTACGCTAAGGAGAACTATGGGGAAAAGCCTTAACCCCATTGTTCTCCTTTAAATATCTGCTCTTAAAGCATCTGTTATCATTGGGAAGCCCAAAGTGAAGAAATTAGGGCCAACAGTAGCTGTTCTTAAAGAACTGAGGGGTAACTGAGAGGCTACTACTGAAACACTAGAGCCTCCATAAAATGTTGCTGTTTATGGGTATCTTGTACCCTTAACTCTTTCTCCAAGAAGTTCATTTTTAATATAACTTAATATCATTAAATCACAATATAGTATAAATATATAGCACTGTGCAAACTGTTGGCACTATATAAATCTTGTATAATAGTATATACAGTAGATTTTTTTTTTTTGAGAGTTTTTTTTTAATTATTAAAAAAGAAGTGTGGCTTATAACTGCATTGAATTTCTCAAATGTATGCAGATATGTTTAACAAAATATATACTTAGGTAATACTTGGTATAACACGTGCCGCATTATTGATGAGTTATAGGTTCTGTGCCAGGAAAACTAGCAATACCATTTAGACTTTGGAAGCTTAGTCATTACTAAAGTAATACGTCATCTTTTGATCTGTTGTAATTTAAGAATTCATATCATGTGAATTAATGTCATACGTCATGTTCCATCATATAAGGCCAGGCTCTGCTATAAGAACCACAATAATAATAGCTTCAGTTTTCGTATGCCAGGGTGTACAGAGTACACACCAGGAATAATAATATTTTATAATGTGCTTGTATAAATAAATGCTTAGACGGCCAAGTTCAACTTTTTTTTTTTGTTACTTATCAGTTTTTTTAAATTCAATATTAGAAGAGTTGTATACTTCACCCAGGTATACACACCCTAAGGGGAAGGGGGCTTTCAGAACACTTGGTCTTTACTCCCAATTTTTTTGTGATTAAAACATTTCATTAAATTTCTCAATAAAAATTGATTAAAAATAACATCCTAAAAAAAATTAGAAAACATATTTCCGCACAGATGAGGGCGACATCAGCATTCTTTGGGACCCTGGGGCAGGCATAGTATCTAGCGCAGTATTGTCTTGTTGTGAGATTTGTAATACTCAAATGCATTTTTTTGTAATGCAGCAAGTGGTTATGAGGCTGCAATCCTGATGTGTTAAATTTGAAGTTAAAACATCTGCATTTGCTTTTCAAGGTAATGGAATGCTGTCACTGCACGTTTCTGTTCATAACAGCTTAAACGTCTTATTTTACCCTATGGTGCACTAAAAGCAAGAAAATGCCAATAAATGTGTTTCCTTTAAGAGTTGCTATTTTAAAAGTAGCAGCATTCTTAAAGCACACCTTCATTAATTTAAAGAGCATCCTCTCACCTGCCTCCTCTCCCTTCCCTGTGACACAATTGCAGTTTTTCTTTTTTTAAAAGCCCAACAAATACCATTTTATGACTTTACTTTCTTAATCTTTGCCTTGGCTAGGATGATGTATCTGGCCCCCACTACCTCCTGAGACGTCTACAGCACATATCTCAGGAGGCAGTGTGCTAGATCTTGCACATGTGTGGAAACGAAGCAGGTCTCTGTTGTTCTCTGTTGTTATCTTCGTCAATCACGCAAGAAAAAATACCCTTTGGCTGTGATAATGAGTTAATAAGGCAATATGCAGCACATTAATTACAAGCGACTGGGAATGCAAAAGCAGCTTGAAGCAAATTGAGGCAGCTTAGGAGATCAGATGCAGTTCAGGAGGAGGTCAAATGCAGGTCACCTGTCAGTGAAATTTAAATGATCTTAGAAGTGTCCCAAACTGATATCAAATGTAGATATAGTGCATCTAAAAGCAAGCTTCATGTACCCATTGACACAAGCTCAAAGCTAGTAGACAAAGACCCTTTACTTGAAAGCAGACCTTGCAGTAATGTCTCCTCATTATCACAAGGCTTCCCACCCCTTTTTAAAATGCTATATTACTATGATAGCAGCACCAAAATGAGGGGGAAAAACGTTAGCAGAAATACACACATAATCACTGATTTTCACATTGTAGGGGGGTAATGTCACTTTCCTTCTCACAAGATTTCTGGGAAGAGATAAGTAAACCAATTTTCTGGAGAAGACACTCCAGCACAGTGCAGGAGCATCTTCTCACAAGATTTGAGATCCTCGCCTTTCCCAGGACCTCTATCGAAGGATTGTGACCTTTGCCTAGACACTGCAAGCAGAAGCTGGCTGTGAGGTAAGTAAATGTAACTTTTTCCCACAAGGACATTTGTATGTTACTGTTATACCGCAATATAAAATGGGGGAGGGACTCGGATATAATAAGCAGATCTTGATTTCTAGCGGAAAGTGTTCATTAAGGTGTAGAATTCAAGAGTTAAATTGAGTCAGACACCGTAAACCAGACACCGTAAACCACCAAATAAGGGGGGGGTGAGTGGGACAACCTGCTTCCTCCGTCGACTTTCTTGAAAGAACGCCCCTCAGCCCTTGCAGTTCCAACCCTTACGGCTCCTCCCGGACACCTGACCCCAACCTCCAATCAGGTAAGATAGGTTAATTCCCATTTTATTTGAACCCCTTCTCCAGGGACTATTCCTCCCCTCAGTCATGCAGCCCCTCCGCTCAGTCTCTCTGGGTCTGTCTTTATTTGTTTACTTTTGCCTTTAATGTTCTATTTTATGTTTTGTTCACTGTTCATTTTTTCGTGTTAACAAACATAAAATAATGAGGCTATTTATTGATTCAAGAACAACTCCAGGATCGTTAAAGGAGATTCATTACCCCCAAGAGCCATTTAAAGACCATTAGACCCGTAAAAACCAAGATCAAACCCAGTGGTCAAAGTCCTGCATCTTGAAAATTAGCATTTTAGACCACAAAATTCACTTATAAGGACTTTTCAGGTGCTACAGTGACCGAGCACTCAACTATAAAAAGAATATTTTTTATTAGATCACAATATAAAAATAAAAAAACAACTTGATTTAGCCTTTCTTACTGATGCTTATGCATTTTGCCAAATGATAAAAAATGTCTTGATTTTTGCAAACATGTGTTAATGAAAACTCTCAACTTTGCTTATCCCTAGTAACAAGAAACAAGAACTAAAATAAAGATAAGGAGTTCTGTCTTTACTACGTCTAAATTTGCTGTATGATTCTTCCAGTCTAACCACAACTGAACAATCCACTTTGGGAGGGGTTGTAATGTGTAAGGCTTAACTTTTAAAATATATAATTTGTGTAAGTGTACTGATGTGGTGTTTTAAGTCTGTTTTCAGGTGTGCAGTCTATGTAATTGTTCCAGAGTATTATTGTTCCCACCCATAATTGTGATCCTCCTTCTAATAAGTGGAACACTCAGACAGCTCGTTGAATGGTTATTGTGCAATCCAAACAGATGCTTGTGCAATCCTTTCATTGTTTGATAATAGGGTTATAGATGATGCATGCAAATCAAACCAAAATGTGTTCGACTAAAATAGTACCTTCTTTATACTATTTATTAAGCTAAGTTACTTGGGGCAACTACATTTCTGTGTTTTTATGGATTTAAGCAGTCCTGGATTTGGCAATTCTGGTAGATGTTAGAAGAGCTGTTCATAGATTGGAGAGGGTGATCTGCTATGCATACAAAACCTGGCTGTGGTTTAGGGAAAACACTCAACTGGAGGGGCACCGAAATTAAATTTTCAAAACCGAAACGAAAGTCAGGCTGAAATCAAAAACATTTTAGTAAACTTTTCAATTTTTAAAAAATATTTTTATTAATTAATTTATTTTTATTAAATATTTTTAAAAAAAATTCTGTACTGTTGGGGGCTTTGGGGAAATATTAGTGGTCTAAACAGATCCCTGATATTTCCCTTTCAAAATAAAAAAAGAGATTGAGGACACTGAGTTCTCCGTCTCTTTTTTCCGCATGCCCTGTTATAAATGAACAGGAAGCCTCTATACTGAGTGCTCCTGTTCATTCATAACTTGTGGAGATAGTATGTTTACCATGTCCACAATCATAAAGAAACAGGAAGTGATGTAGATCGCTTCCCATTCATTCATAATTAGGGACACAGTAAACATATTATGTCCTCAATTATTTACAAACACTGAGTGCTTGTACCCGCTCTCGATACACTCGCTGTCACAGGAGGCGGAGCGAGGGTGTGGGGAGGAGAGCTCGATCTCCTCTGACAGCTGAATCCTCCCCTCAACCGCCGACCTAGCCTCCTGTGACAGCTTACAGCTGTCTCTGCTCTTGTGAGAGCTCAGGGTCTTGTGACACTATGGCTGCTCAGATCGCTCTCCTGCCCCACACCACTCGGCCTCCTGTGATAGTTTCTCTCTTCCCCGCTGGACACTGCTCTCTGTTAGAGGGGACATAGAGCAGCGCCCAGTGGGAAGGAGAGAAACCAAGGATGCACCACAATTTCAGCCAAAAGATGGCACTTTCTGCATTTTGCCAAAAGTGCCATTTTTATTTTTTTTACCTAACAGGTAAAAACTTACCTCTGTCTCCGCCGCTCGCTCCCGGCTGTAGATCTGTAGCTTCTCGAGCGGCCGTGCAGGAAGATTAGTGTGGGCCCATCTAGAAAGCAACAAAGAACTCCTCGCACTGATGGGTAACCTTTGAATAAATCACCAATCGTGACAGCCGCAGTGAAAAAAGGCAACAAATATAAGCCCCTCCAAGAATAAATATTTAAAAAGACATCAACCCTGTTGAACTACCCAAATTTGTGTAGTGATATTATATACACGCGCAGTAGAGATCATCGGCGGGGAGAAGAGAAGAGACACAGTTTAGGTGAATGTACGCAGCCTTGAGCCTTGTGCGAAACCAGGAGTCTGTGCTGGATCAGAGACTGGCACCAGTGCTGGAGGGACTCCTGAATACAAGTGGAGGAAGAAGATCATTGGATCAAGAGACATCATTTAGGTGAGTCCCTAAAGCAGCATGGGGGGG